ACATTTTCATACTCATTTCATTCGCATCTAAATAGAGCACAAAATACCATTTGTACCTAAAAGTGTCACAAAAATATATGAATGCGTATTTTCCACTCAAAAAGACGGTTATCGAATGCATCTGTCAGTCGGAACAAGATGCAAACAAAATGTGTCGAAGAGATGGTACAAGAACAATCACAAATGACTATTCATCAGAATGACCAGCTTACCTTCTTCATGTGGTCAATACCAGCTGCGGCCTGTTCAACGTAGCTCAGGATCTCGTCTCTTATTCTACCCACCGGCACCGGGAGCAATGCCTCACGGCGATCCGAATGATGCTCAAGCACATCAGACACGTTAACGTTATGAAAATCGACATTCACAGGAATCAGACGCCAAGGTTGTCGTTGCCTGATTGCGTCCAGGTGACGCACCTTTTCAGCTACTGTGTCACTGAGGGCAGCTAGGAAGCGGGCTAACGCCTTCTGGACTCGAAGAATCTGGGGAATACATGAAATATAGAGCGAATGGAGCACAGTAAACCGTTGATTACAGTGATTTTGTGGAGGCAAATAGGTTTGGAAATTAGGTCCAACCAAACATACGAACAGAAATCGGGATTTGAAGGATCCATCAATAAAATTCTTCTTGATGTAGTTTTAATTTCGCTTAAAAAGGTAGATGGATTCTTAAATTGAAGGAAGGAGGATATCCTGTAATTTGGTCGAATTCATGGGAGATTTCAGAGAGCCTATTTAGTGCCGTGCCTTCCCTCTTTCTAGTCATATATCCTTACAGCATCGGGTCGTCGGCCTGGTGCACATATCCATACGTTTTTATATCAGTGAGGTAAGTATTGCTAATAAAAGCACTGAACAAAGGCAGAACGTTTTGTAATATGAAAACCAGCTCAAACGAAATGAAGGTAAATGATGGAAATGAAAAGCATAAAAGCACCCATATTATCATAATCTTAGATTTTTCACCAGGAAAAAAAGTTAGATAAAACATAATGCAATTGATGAATGATAACTAAACTCTCGGAATACCGAAAATATGGAGTTAAGTTACAACTGGAACAAAATATTGAAGGCTCATCAGAGTGAAACTGGGCTCCAACTATCATTAGATGATGTATAGGGAGGCAGGCTAAAGAAGTAACGGTAATAACGGATTCGCTGTAGGATTTATATTTAAAAATGTCTAAGTTACTCAAAATATAAAATAGGATTAAGGCTTATAAGGAAAAAGCAGCCTTATTAATCTAAAATATGAAGGCCAAGATGCTGTGGCCTCTGGTATGGTCGCAGTCTCCTTTCGATTTATAGAAGTGGGTTGACCTCGTTGTCGCAATTTGGTCTTGTTGTCAGGGCGACTTAGTAGAACCCACCTAGTCCGAAGTCGTCTCCCATAGTAGTTGTCATGATTACCAGCATCAGACAGTGGATTTGGTACATTCTCAAACGTTTCGCCAGGATCGTTGTCTGCATCATCAGTGAGTTTTGCCATTCTCCACACAAAGCTACGAACTCGTCAAAGAGACAAGTGAAGTCAATCCCTCGATAAACGTTCTGCCGATAACGGCACCCCGACCCCCTATTTCTCGATTGGCTGATTCGACTCGTGTCTCCAATCCGGATATTACTCATGGTCCCATAGATCCATCTCTCATCATTCTGTTTGACCGATTTCACTAAGGTCACTCACTAGAAATCCACTTGAGATGCCGTATTTGACCAGAGATAGGCGTCCACAGTTTGCTCAGATAATATGGGCTTAATCAAGAAGAGGACCGGTAAAGGGAAAGTTTTTAATTTTCTTGTGGCTCAAATGAATCTATATAAGAAGTAAGGTAGAGCTGGATAGTGTTCTTGCTTTAGTGTTTACGTGAGACTTTTACAAGAATGACACCCAGCTCTGATGATGTCTA